TGAATTATGCTTAATTGATTTTCCTAGTTAGTTTTTTCAATTAAAAGGGCTCAAATGCGCCTTAAAAACCATCGTTCAACAGGCTGAACTTGCCTTTAAAATGTTTTTTCCTTTGACGCAAAAACTGCGCAAATCTGACCATTTTAAGACAGTGTAAAAAATCAAACCGAGAAATTGAAGGGCGCAAGGCCAGCTTGGGCAAGACCAGTAACGTAATGCACATTGTTTAGGGTCAGTTAAAAAAATAAGCTCCCATCAGCCACGGCCTATCGCCCAGAAAATTAGAAAACGTAACAAATGCAGGTTAAGGATCAATGGGAAAATGAAAAATTAATAATGCTAAATAATAAAACCTCCATCGACAACGGTAGCTGATTTTTTTATTTCATCTCGAATAAAACAAAAGTTATTCTTATTAAATGTTACATGTGTTGGAGACTGTTATTGTTATAGACACGAAATTTTCCAGAACATTCTATAAATATTCAACATAAATATAATATCTCAGTCAAACAATGACAACGATCAACAGGGCCCCCCACACCAAATATGCCTAAGGGCCCCCTCTTCCCCCGTTACTCCCCTGGGCAAGCTTGACCTTTCGCAAGTTTGCTAGATGTTGAAACAAAACTACAAAATGCTTGTGATGTTACTCTGAGTGTATATCCACACCGGGCAGGCTTGAAAAATATGCCTGGCCACGGTGGGAATCGAACCTACGACCTTTGGAATACTAGCCCAATCCTCTGCCAACTGAGCTACGCGGTCAGGTCGGTTCGACCTGATTACTATAGATTACATTGATATCGAAGGAACTAGATTACATTGATATCGAAGGAACTAGACTCAGTTCCGAAATATCAAACACTCGAACCGACTTAACCGCGTAGCTCAGTTGGCAGAGCATTGGGCTAGAATTCCAAAGGTGGTAGGTTCGATTCCCACCGTGGCCAGGCATATTTTTCAAGCCTGCCCGGTGTGGATATACACTCAGAGTAACATCACAAGCATCTTATTCACCTGAGTACATTACACCAACACAGCAAATATCAAAACTACAAAATATTATAGAAATTCTCAGTCGTTATCCACAACAAGACGTGGCTGGATTTCCACTGCCAGAGCAAGTTCCTAGATTCTGTCTACCAATGGGCGCCATTGTGGAGTGTTGGCCACGCAAGTCTCCCCATCCGCTGCCAATATTCTCAAGTTTCATCCTCACTGGTGCAGAAGGACAGAAGGTAGGGACTACAAACTCTCTATACACACTGGAACGCGAACTTCGATAGCTTTTTTCTTCAAAACTTTGCATGGCGTCATGCACTGTAGTCGTATCTGTAATTTTAATAACCCTTCTCTTATGCTTAAAGTTCCGTTATGGTAAAATTAGTATTTTGAAAGATTATCCAGTCTGATCTATTTATATTAAAATTTTACAAGACGACGTAACTGTAGCTAAGTAATTAGTGAGCATGCAATATATCAAAGTATTCAAGGAATGTAATTAGTGTTTCTTTAGAAGAATATAGAATATTGTTCTGTTAGTGTTTTGAATTATTGTCTGCACCATCTATAACAGCTGTATGCCAAGATTCTAATGTCTTTCTAATTCGGGATCCGATAATTTCCTTTTATCTATATATATATATATATAATTTTCCCTCTCTTAAAATCAATTTTGTGTGACAAATCCCAAGCATGTTTGGCTACATTTGAATTTTTCTCAAATTTCTCTGTATTCCTGATATGTTCTTTCTTCCTTGCCTCAAACGATATAGGTCTGATCTTCGAATAAAAATATTTGGTTAGAGAACGGTTGAATTTATTATCAACCAATATAGCCTGGTTAAATTATCCAGAAACTCTGGTTAAATTAGCTACGAATGATCAAATTAACCAGGACTGTGGTTAAATTAACCGAGAAGTTTAACCAGCAACATTAAGTTACCCCAAACATGGTTAATTTTAGATTAACCAGAACATTTTTAACCATGTTGTTTTTAGAGTTATTTGGTTTCTTGCACTTCACTTGGTGGAATAAATATTAGAATGTTAGGGTTTGTAATCCAATTCTAATATTAATTCCATGAAGTGAAGTGCAAGAAACCAAATAATTGAAGTCCACCTTATCACAACCCGCACACCCGATTACCTATATATACATGAACTTACGGTTACAGCTCAACAGCTGGCCTCTTTAGCTCAGTTGGTTAGAGCGCTGCACCGGAATCGCAGGGCCGTAGGTTCAATTCCTACCAGAGGACCTTGTGCTGCATTTTTCGCAATCGTTCCTGGTTAGGTCTTAAAATGTTATGTATATATACTCACTTGGATTACAAAACATTCTAATATTAATTCCACCAAGTGAAGTGCAAGAAACAACATTGAAGTCCACCTTATCACAACCCGCACACCCGATTACCTATATATACATGAACTTACGGTTACAGCTCAACAGCTGGCCTCTGTAGCTCAGTTGGTTAGAGCGCTGCACCGGAATCGCAGGGCCGTAGGTTCAATTCCTACCAGAGGACCTTGTGCTGCATTTTTCGCAGTCATTCCTGGTCAGGTCTTAAAATGTATATATATTCACTTGTATTACAAACCCTAACATTCTAATGTTTTTAGAGTGCATGATAGTGCAATGCCGAAGTAAAGGCCCTGTCACACTATTGCGTATGACAGAAACGTATGAGAAGCGTATGAAAATTAATGAAATAATTTTCATACGCACAAAAATCCTTTGAAATGCCAGCGTATGAGTACCCTACATCTGGCGTAGCTCTAGCGTATTCAACGTGTGCCTAGAGTATGCTTATCGTATAAACCGTACGTCCGATACGCACAAAGTTTTTTAAGCATGCTTAAAAAAAGTTTCTGCCTCGCCGTATGCCAGCGTATGTCACCGTATGCGACCGTGCTTGAAACGTATACAACCTATGCCTAACGTACCCCTAGCGTATGTCAGCGTTTTCCAGCGTATGAGTGATATATTTTTCATACGCTGGCATACGCTAGTACGATATGCAATAGTGTGACAGGGCCTTAAAGGGTATTGGCAACAAAAATTGCTTCATCTATCTTATTGCTTCATCTGAAAGAGCACGAAAAAATAAGCCGATTGGCCGTTTAATGCTCTATTCTATCTCATCTAGTTCCGAAGTTATACGCAAAAATGTGAAAATATAAATTGCTGATTCAGCACAACGTGTGACGTCATTAGCTGGGTAAGTATGTTTATTGAATACTACACTGAAGCATAGCTCTGTTATTATGGGCCCAAATCAAATGAAATTTTGCATACTGATTGTACATGATGAGACGCATGGAAAAACACTTCTAATTTTGTTGCCAAGGTAACAATGTCGTTCCCAGGCCCCTTGCGCCAATTTTATGAAACAGCTTTATTCAAGGTCCTGATAAAAATAAAATAATATCAGAAGTATGTGTATGATACCTATGCATGCCAAAAGTTTACTTGCATGATAATAATACGAAAATGACATACACATAGATAAATGCAACTAGTTATTCAAAATCAGTGTAAGAGGCCTGGGAACGACTGTGTTGCCTTGACAACGAAATTAGAAGTATTTTTCCCATGCATCTCATCATGTACTATCTGTATGCAAAATTTCATTTGATTTGAGCCAATAATAACTCAGCTATGCTTTAGTTTACTATTCAATAAACATACTTACCCAGCTTATGACGTCACAGAATGTGCTGAATCAGCAATTTATATTTTGCACATTTTTGCGTATAACTTCGGAACCAGATGAGATAGAATAGAGCAGTAAACGGCCAATCGGCTTATTTTTTCATGCGCTTTCAGATGAAGCAATAAAATCAATAAAATTTTTTGTTGCCAATACCCTTTAAGCAAACTATGCTCTTACTTCGAAAAAGAAGGTTACAAAAGTTCGTTTCGTTGAGTGTTTAGTGGATATATATTTTCTTCAGGTTTACGGTGCTGGAGTGACGTTTTTTGAAGAACTTCCTGAAGATCAGGTGACCCAAGAAATGAAAGATCATTTGAAGATCTCGACAAATGACGAAGTAAGAGAATCCTTTCTGCGTGTATGTTGATCCATAGCCTATCGAAGGGAAGATGGCTGTGAAACTCCTTAGAATAAAACAATATAACTCAATGTCTATGTTAGTCAATGTTTATTCATAAATCTGGTTCTTCACTGTCACGTGCGTATTGTATTTTTGCCCAACTAACCAATAGCAATGTTTTAGGAAATTTACCTATCCGTGACTCGAACAATTGAGAAATTGCTATTGGTGGTTAATTAACCAAGAAATTTAAGCTCGAAACGTCGAGTTTCTGCTTGTTTTTTTAAGGTAGTAATATAACGGTATTTTACCACTCAGCGCAAAAAATTTTTAACCAACCTCGAATATCAATTAAAAAATAAATCCCCACCCCTGGTCAAAAACTTTACAAAAGGATACCATCAGTTGTCACACATGTCCTTTACCACTTCTGTGACATGAGTTTGATAACTGCTTGTGCAATTTCCTGCAGTCTAAAGTTTCATGTTGTCTGCACATGTACTTTCTTTGGAGACACCATTTGCCTTCTGACAAATCGGAAAATGATCAAGATAGTGATTCTGATTGATTGATTGATTGATTGATTGATTGATTTACATATTGTATTGACATATACTGTTGATATTGCTTTTTAGTCTTCAATATTTGAGTGAGCCATGCTTTGGAAATGACAATACATTTTTATTACCCAACCCTTGAGTTGTTTTGTTTTTCATTTATCTAACCTTTACTCACTTAAAAGTTTGTTTACCCAACCCTTTTCTCTTCGGTGCCACCCCCGCCATAATAATTACCTCCGTTAGGGTAACCAAAGTGGTAAAACAGTTCCATTCATCTTACATAAATTTCTTGTTTCAGGAATTAGCAGAGTTGAGGCAAATAGTTTATTCCAATAAATGCATCTGTGTTCTATCTCACTGGCCATTCTTCGAAGCTTTCAAAAAGTTTCTGTCGTCTTTGTATCGGATTTCTGTCTCAACTCAACCTATCCCGTTAGAGAGGTACAGGAAGCTTATTATTTTTAAAATCATTTTATCAATATATCAATACTGCAACCCACGCTGACACCCGTTTGAAGCCTGTTTTGAAGCCCGTTTAACTGTTTATACCAATGATCAGGGCAGAAGAAAAAGAATTTTCTTCCTGGGAGCACAATCTGGAGACAAAAATTTCCTGCAGACCAACGGAGTATTTTTGTGCTAAATCTGCATGTGCATAAACATATAGTGTTCTAGCTGACCATGGTTTTAAGGAACAATGTCTGACAACCATATGTTGCGCCGCCCATAGTGGGACATGGGTGTTAAGGTTTCCTTCAAATCTTCAATAGCAAATCTTCATTTGAACGAATTTCCTGCAGCTGTTTAACATTTCCTGCGAGTAGTGCTCGCGTGCTCGCTTATTTTTTCCAGCCCTGCCAGTAATAAAGTAATGCAGTGTGTCTTTCTTTAATTTAGATATATTTCGCATTTTATGCTGAATGTTCCTTTTCCTTCGCCTCAAAGACCTCGGATTCTTGTGCAGGTTCGTAATGTAACGGATGTATACTGTATTCACATGCAGTGTTGTAATGAGACTACATCAACATGTAAATTTACGCTCGGCTATAAGGTCGACACTGAAATAGAAAGTTATCGTAATTCTCAAATCAACAGCCCCCAACTAAGTTGATGTTGCTGTTCCTGTTGTTTCTCTTCCTGTTGTTGTTATCGCTGTCGCCATTGTTGTTGTTGTTGTTGCCATTGTTGTTGTTGTTGCCATTGTTGTTGTTGCTGTTGCTGCTGCTGTTGCTGCTGCTGTTGCTGCTGCTGTTGTTGCTGTTGTTGCTGTTGCTGTTGCTGCTGTTGTTGTTGCTGTTGTTGTTGCTGTTGTTGTTGCTGTTGCTGTTGTTGCTGTTGTTGCTGCTGTTGTTGCTGTTGTTGCTGTTGCTGTTGTTGCTGTTGCTGTTGTTGCTGTTGCTGTTGTTGCTGCTGCTGTTGTTGCTGTTGTTGTTGCTGTTGTTGTTGTTGCTGTTGTTGTTGCTGTTGTTGTTGTTGTTGTTGTTGTTGTTGTTGCTGTTGTTGTTGTTGTTGTCGTTGCTTTTGTTGTCGTTGTTGTTGTTGTCGTTGTTGTTGTTGTCGTTCTGTTGTTGTTTCTGTTGCCATTGCTGCTGTTGTCGGCGTTGGCGCTGCTGCTGGTGTTGCCGTTGTTGTTGTTGTACGTAATTGTGTTCCCATGAATTATACAAATTAGGGTTTAGTGTAATAATGATATTGTAAATTTATATGTTGTAATTTTGTCACTGAAAAACCCCTGCAGGGGAGTGTCAATAAATTCAAATCAAATCAAACTCGACTAGGACTCGACTTGTTTATGTCTGCCGTAAATGACGCGTGTCAACTCAGCTAGAATTTGTTCTGATTAAACTCATCAGCAATATGGTAGAACAATGAAAGGGCTTAAAGAAATTCTTCTGGATACTGATAATATCATTTCTGACGCAAGTTGCAAGTTGTGCTATTTGTGTCTCGTTACAGCATCACCTTCATAAATACAGTGACTTCATAATTGTCTTGTACGTGTTTTACGTGCTGTTTTAACGAATAATACATGTTGACTTTTTCATTTGCTATATATAGATGAATCTGTACGAACCTTTTGAAATATGTCAGCGATATTTTACAAGTTTGCCTGTCAGGTAAGATTTAAAGACTGTGTTGTCATACAAAGACTTCACGTAGTCTAAACTTTAGGGAGATTTCACGTGGTCTAAACTTTAGAAAGTCCAATGATAAAGTAGAAAATGACAGCTAGCATTAGCTCTGCTAGGATGTTATTATTTGTTTTCGTCCCCGTTTGTATGTATATGTGGCTATCAGCACGGTAACGTAAAAAATTATCAAACGTATTAAGAGGCAATTTTTTTCAATGTCACGTATTTACAATGAAAAGTGTTCAAAACCTAAAATCTTTTTGGCTTTCCTCTCAGAATCACTTTGTTTTTGCTTTATTCTCTGGTTTATACAGTTAGCTACCTTTTTAAATGCATCTGCCGGTTGAGAAACATAAAATAATAGTTAAAAATTGTCAATTAAAATACAATTATCAATGATGCTTTAAAATTGACGCCATATTTAAGCAGTATAAGCAAAACTTACTGAACTTCAGACATAATTTTCTCTCTGGCGTATCATCAAAAATCTATTCAATTTAGCATTATTTTACAGATAAAGCACTAAACATACTTTTTAAGTTTGTTTATGATCAGATGATCAAACTGATTATCAATTTCCCATTTGTAATACAAAATGACTGAAAAACGGCAAACTTCGCAAGGCTATATTATCCGCATTTTACAACATTTCGCAACGAAACTTCGGATTGCGATGCTCTTTCAAGCTGTGATGAAATTTTTGTCCAGGCTTGTCTAGATCAAAATTTCACTTAAAAGGGGAAAGGTCTATTAGCAAAGTTTGTCCTGCTTTACATAACTTAACTCGCTAGTATGTTATATTGAATAATATTGAGAAGCATAAGCAGACACAGGAACGGAACCGGGGGAGGGGGCAATGGGGGCATGTGCCCCCCCTACCTTTTTAAAAGTTAAAAAAGTGCCCTTTTTTCTGGGCTAAAGTGCCCCATTTAAAGAACGAAAAAAGTATTTCTTGAATGAACGCCCTCTTTTGCTGGAACGAAAGTGCCCTTTTGGCAATAGTAAAGACTCTGTAAAAGCCATTTCGGACGTAAAAGCCATTTCGGACGTTATATATTCGAAATGCATCCTCTGCCTTTGAGCAGACATGTTATTTTCACGTTCTGTTTGTCCAATTCACTATAATATAACTATATCTTTTTTTGTATATAGTGGTGCATCATTCTCAGCTCTTCTGCGCTGGCTCGGTCCTGAGAACTCAATCAAGTTATTTTATTACGTGTTGACTGAGCACAAGCTTCTCATCCACTCACTTCGCGCTGCACTTCTTACCAGTGTCGCTGAAGCACTTGTTAGCGTAAGTATCTTGGATTGCATTTAAATGAGACTCGATGAATCAGAATCCCATACCCAAATTCGTCTAGTTCTCTCAATGAACTCTATAAAAACTGAAACGATAACTAACAGTAGGAATTTTGCACAGGTAACTTCTAAGTTTTGAAGGATTTGTAAGAAATGTTTAAGGCAACTGACTTGGTGTTAAACACTGAGTCAGTTTCCTCGATCGAACATTTCTCACAAATCCTTGAAAACGTATGGAAATTACTTATGTAAAATTCCTACTGTGATAACAGAAACTTTGGGCGCTTTCCTGTAACACGGTCAAACCGGTCAGAACGGTCAATTTGTTGAATGAAACACAAAACATTTGGGTTTCGGACCTATCTGACTGGAAAATTTTGATAACATTAGAATGAGGTCCATTTTCGCTAGATATTTAAGAAACATAGACCAGATGCAAACTAGTGATGCACCGATATGGAAATGCACCGATATTCCGATAACTGATATTGAAAGACCGATATTTTGCCGTTATACCGATATTCTATGTCATTTCACAAAATTCAAAGATGACATCATGACAGTTCTACTGTAATACTTTTGAATTTAATTCAATTCATTTGTTTCTAAATATTGAAAATATCAAATGAAATGCTGCAAATGCATGCAACAAACTAGTATAATACTACGCCAGCGACTGTTTATTTGTAATAAAAATAACTATTGAACTGCAATTATAACCAATCATTAATATTTAATAACAGTTTGTACGTAACATCTGTAATATCAACAACAAAATTACCGATACCCATATTTCTATTTTAGTACCGATAAGCCGATACACCGATATGGATATCGGTGCATCACTAATGCAAACCAGTCTGAACATAGTAACATACTGTATTTTCAACTGCTGTCGTTTTATAAAGAAGCGAGAAGACACAGCTGATTTATTCTCTTCCTTTAGATAATTTTTCCATTTTCTTGGCAATGTCCCTTCATCCCACTGTGTCCCGTGGCACTATCTGATGTCCTTAATGCTCCTTGTCCTTTCATCGTTGGTATCGATTCCCGCTATTTCGACCTCTGTGACCCTCCTGATGACGTCATTTGTGTTGACCTGGACACAAATATGATTTCCCCGTAAGTAGACAGCAGTGTCCGTATAAAGCCGGTTACAGACGGGCAAGTTTTCTATGACAAGTTTTTATGTGACAAGTTTTATTTGCCAAGTGCACGTGTGTATATGCAACAAATTTTATATGACAAGTTTTATTTACTGGTGTGAACGTGTCAGAAAAAGGTGTTTATGACAAGTGCACTTGTTCAAAAGCTAGCATGCTTGCTTTTGAACAAGTGCACTTGTCATAAAGAAACTTCTAACTAGAAAGAAACTACTAGTAGTAGTAGTAGTAGCAACTTTATTTAACGAGGGTAAAACACATTACAGCCGAAGGCTGAAAAACTTGTGGCCGTCACTATACTAATTACAGGAAAATGCAATAAATTATATTATACAATATACTTATGCTATGTTACAAACTTGATAGCTATAAAAACTTGATAGCTATAAAAACCTCACTATACTAAGAGTATTACAGGATGATTTACTATATTATACACTTATACTACGTTAAATAGTAAACAGTTAAAAATGATCTAAATCTAGATATTGTTCAGTTAAAAATATTCGGTATTTATTCTTAAATGTACCTATATTTGAACATGATCTAATATCCGTAGGAATGCTATTCCACAGTTTAGCTGCCGATATTAAAAAAGATTTGCCCCCTTCTAATCCCCGATTGTATTTGGGACAAACAACAGTTATTTTGCCATATCGTGAAGTTCGCGACGATATTTGACTAACTGTTACAAATTTTTCAGCAACATAAGATGGGGCTAATTCATTTAAACTCTTAAAAACCATACAACATTTATTTATTTTGAGTTCATCAGTGAAAGGTATCCATTTCAGTTTTTTAGTGAAAGGTATCCATTTCAGTTTTTTATTTGCGCGTACAGACGAGCAAATAAAACTTGTCACATAAAAACTTGTCATAGAACTTGCTCGTCTGTAACCGGCTTAACAGTAACCATTGCTCTCATATCCACAATTACCCAGTGCTGGTGACCCTAACTATTTTAACCACTTGCGGATTAGGCAAATTAGACATGAAAATTGGTTTTGCCTTCTCATATATTTGCAAAATTTGAAGCTGAAATGATTGCAGTGAGGGTTGATTAAGATTGCGAAACAGAAAATAATAGTTAAATATTGTCAATTTAGATACAATTATCATTCATGCTGTAAAATTGACGCCATATTTATATACAGCAATATAAGTCAAACTTACTAAACTTCAGATATCATTTTCTCTTTGGCGTACAGCCTAAAATCTCTTTATTTTAGCGTAATTTTACAGATAAAGCACTAAACATACTTTTTAAGTTTGTTTGCCGCTTGGGAAACGTATCAAAAATTTAGAAAATGCATGAATATAGTCACAACCAAGTAGAAAAGTATATTCATTAGTTCTGAGCGCGTGTTACGTAACATACAAAAGATTCTCTTAATCGACATTCTAATCTTATGTTTTCTTGACTTAATTATGAAGTGTTTATTTCAGCTGATTTACTAATAAAGAATCAAAAACAGAATGTTTTCCATAAAAACCAAACAATTTTGTGTAGCAATTTTATGTAGCGAGTCAATGTTGAATGAGGTGTTTTATCCATATATACAAAATTTTGCATGATTTGCATAAACTTCTTCCTCGATTTTCTTAGCTAAAATCAGTTCTTTTTGAATATTTCCTAAAACAAAACTTTTGAAATCCTTATGTTTCACAAGCTAGAAACAGCATTCAGTTTGTATATCTGATACAACAGGGCCGCTCATGCTGTATATATTGCTTATTATACTTTTATTTTTGTCTTCTATAGAATATATGACAGACATCCTTTCTCTTGGAAATTATTCCCAAAGGTGAGGAGGCCTTTTGAGTTAGATCATGTAGAATTTCATATTTCAAATCGAAAATTCAGAATAGATTCCAAGTTCTAGTAGCTATGTTCAGGGACGGATCTACCGTGGAGATACAGGCAGGGGAGGAGAGGCGCACCCCACCTAGTGGTGTCTTGCACCCCCCCCCCCCC